ATGCTGGATCTAGAGGCAAGTGGGAGAGACCACACTGGGAGCTGAGGTCCGGTTACCCCCCAGTACTCACCCTGGGGCAGCTCAGCAAAAGGACCAGTGCACTTCAAGGCTTGAGGCTGCTTGCCAGAGCTCGTAAGACTCCACAACTGGAAGATCCTTTGGGTGATACGTGAGTTGGGTGGATCAGGGATCTGTGGAGTCATCAGAGTAAAGTGAGCAGATTTTACCCGACCAATGCAGATTCAGGTTTCATGCCAGTGCTGAATCTGTGGCTTCCTAGAAAAGCCTTAGGTCACATCAAGGCCAGTCAGCTGCCCACTTCGGGCCCACAGACACCTGAGATCTGGTTAAGAAATACTGTAGCTTGGGGTAGGGCTTGTGGCCTGCCACTGAAAGTCTCTTATGGGATGCATGGGCTATGCGCAAGCTGAGAGCTGCTGTTGTCAAATCTGTAGCCCAGGGAAAGCACAGGGTGGGACTGGCTGCCTGAGAATGGACTTGCCCAGGGCAATTTGTGCGTTGGGTGGGGCTAGGTCTCAGGGATACACAAATCGAACTGGCCAATCTCACCAGGCCAATGCAGCTTCAGAATTGGCAGTGCAGGGGGAGGGTTCAATGCAGGCAAGATGGTGCCCATCTGTAGACTGCGCTGGAGGAGGGCCTGACAAAGGAAAAATGGCGGCTATCTCTCTAACCCTCACCCTGATGCCACACAACATAGTCTTTCCCCTTATGTCTGTCTTACCTCCTGAACTGCTGACCCTTTGCCATAGCCCAGGGTGAGTGTCTGTGAGCAAGTGAGTCTATGAATGGGCCCTTTAAGGAGGATGTCTGGGTTTTCAGGTTCCTTCTGTCATACCCAGATGGCAGAATCCTCACTGATTTTTACGGTTAGATTTTGTGGGAACTCCTCTTTCCAGGACTTGAACCTTGAGCTGGGAGAGCCCCTGTGTGGGGATAAGGCCTCTTATTGCTTTAGGAAGACCTCTGCAACTGCTCTTGCCCTCCTGGTACTCAACCACCACACACGGATACGAGACCAGCCTATTTTGTATGTCCACCTCTCTTACTAGTCTCTTCATGGCTTTTTCTTTATATTTCTAGATGTATGTGTTATGACCACCTAGACTTCAAGGACTTTTCCAAGTTGATTGTTTTATAATTTGGTTGTAATTTTAATGCAATCATGAAGGAGGTGAACCATACTTTTACCTAGCCCATCATTTTGACCCCACCTCTCTCTTCTTAAGTTATTTACTCTAAAATACAAATGTATTAATCTGTTGTATAGCTGTTGCAAATATTCTTTCCTTAAGAACATCCTCACCTTTTCTAAACCTTACAGTTTCCTTTGAACCATACATATTTTTATCCTACAACAATCTATCATTTACTTTCTATGACCTCTTTTATTTTAATTCTTATTTTGGTTGTTATTTATTTATTTGGATTTAATTTTAATTTTATTTTTAAAATTTTTATTAACTTTATTGGGGGGAACTTTGGTTAATACAATTATATAATTTTCAGGTGTACATCATCATTTGACATTTGGATACTCTATTGTGTGTTGACCACCCAAAGTCCAGTTTCCTTCAGCTACCATATATTTCATCCCTTTTATGCACTTCACCCTCCCCCATCTCCCTATATTTGACCCTCTTTACCCCGTCTACTGCCTCCTTTCTCAATCAACTTTACCCTCTGGTAACCACTAGTCCATTATGCATGTCCATAAGTCTTTGTTTGTTTGTCCTGCTTATTTGTTGCTTTCAGGTTATATCCCACATATAAGTAATATCATCTGATTTTCAACTTTTTCAGTCTGGCTTATTTCACTTAGCATGATTATCTCGAGGTCAATCCAGGTTGTCGCAAATGGCAGTATTTCATCTCTTCTTATGGCTGAGTAATATCCTATTGTATATATGTACCACAGCCTCTTTATCCAATCATCTATCGTAGGACACTTTGGTTGCTTCCATACCCTGACCACTGTAAATAATGCTGCTATGAACATCGGTGTGCAAATATCTTTTCGGATATGGGTTTTCAAGTCTTTGGGGTAAATACCCAGTAGAGG